TGTACATACGTACTTGAGAACGTGGACCGTATCACCCGAGGTGCCTACTACAGGGCTATTAGCCCATACTGGGCAGCTCTTGTTCTCTCCACCTGATTTGGAATCGGGATTCACGTATGATATGTGGATGTTGAGTCACTGCTCACCAATGTGCCATTGAATGAGATAATTGCAGTGATGACGGGCAAGGTTTATCAGGTTTCAGTACACGCCTTGACATCTCAGAAAGCACACTTGGGCATACTCGGCAAAACACATTAGGCCCAATAAAGTTGTAACATGAACTTTGGAGAGCAAATTTTTCAGCGTCTTTCCCAAGTGAAGAACACTAGAGTTACAGAAAATTCATGCTAGAACCTTGTACAGTGTACTGTATAACCCTTTTGGCCATATACAGTAACACATGCATATACATAGAGTATGTATTTATGCCTTAATATATGTTATTTATGTATATGCATACTTTAATAGCGAACAAGACATGAAAGAACATACCGTGTTCCTCGGTTCACGGGTGTCTGCGGGTGGCCTCTTGTCCTGTCCGAGGCGGTTCCTGCCTGTACTCCTCCTGCCCCTCTCCTATGCTTGTCTAACCTTGCTTGAGTTCGGGGCCCCGCCTCCACCTTGTTCCGCAGTGCAACGGTGGGTGTGCCTGTTTGGTGGTACGTTTTCCTGTGTCGGAGGTTTTGTAATTACCTAAGTGTAATTACCTAAGTGTAGTTACAGGATGAGAGCTACGCTCGTGGTGTCCCGTCTTCCCAGCACTCTATGTCATATAACGCTTTGAAACTACTGACGGTCTTGGCCTCCACCACCTTCTCACTTAACTTGTTCCAACCGTCTACCACTCTATTTGCGAAGGTGAATTTTCTTATATTTCTTCGGCATCTGTGTTTAGCTAGTTTAAATCTATGACCTCTTGTTCTTGAAATTCCAGGTCTCGGGAAGTCTTCCCTGTCGATTTTATCAATTCCTGTTACTATTTTGTATGTAGTGATCATATCACCTCTTTTTCTTCTGTCTTCTAGTTTTGGCATATTTAATGCTTCTAACCTCTCCTCGTAGCTCTTGCCCTTCAGTTCTGGGAGCCACTTAGTAGCATGTCTTTGCACCTTTTCCAGTTTGTTGATGTGCTTCTTAAGATATGGGCACCACACAACAGCTGCATATTCTAGCTTTGGCCTAACAAAAGTCATGAACAATTTCTTTAGTATATCGCCATCCATGTATTTAAATGCAATTCTGAAGTTAGAAAGCATAGCATAGGCTCCTTGCACAATATTCTTTATGTGGTCCTCAGGTGATAGTTTTCTATCTAGAACCACTCCTAGATCTCTTTCTTTATCAGAATTCTTTAAAGATTTCTCACATAATATATAGGTTGTGTGGGGTCTATGTTCTCCTATTCCACATTCCATAACATGACATTTATTAACATTAAATTCCATTTGCCAAGTGGTGCTCCATATACTTATTTTGTCCAGGTCTTCTTGAAGGGCATGACAGTCATCTAAATTTCTTATCCTTCCTATTATCTTAGCATCATCAGCAAACATGTTCATATAATTCTGTATACCAACTGGTAGATCATTTATGTACACAATAAACATCACTGGTGCAAGAACTGAACCCTGTGGTACTCCACTTGTGACATTTCTCCATTCCGATACATTGCCTCTGATTACTGCCCTCATTTTTCTATCAGTCAGAAAATTTTTCATCCATGATAGAAGCTTACCTGTCACCCCTCCAATATTTTCCAGTTTCCAGAACAACCTCTTATGTGGAACTCTGTCAAAAGCCTTGGTTCGCCTCCTTGTGCTTGCAGGTTGGGTTCTGGCTTGGTTTCCGCCTCTCCCCTGTCATTTGCCTGTCGGGCGGATTCTGTGCTTCTTGAGCACTCTCATCTCTGCTCTTGGGGCTGTGTATGGGGTCATACACAGCCCCATACACCTATGACTATGACCTATGGTCGTAGTCATAGGTTTCTTTGTCTGCGGCCGTTCTCCCTTTTTCTGGCGGTTGATAATTCTTGGGTTATTGTCTCGACTTCGTGTTGAGGAGTGATTCACCGACCGCCTCCCGGGTATGTCCCCTTGTTTTTTTAGGTAGTCTTTGGTATGAAGCTCCAGGGAGCCGTAGGGGCTCCCCCCAGAAAACCAGTGTTGAATGTAATGAAACGCCATTTTCTGGGTGAGTCCCGGAGGCTCCCCGGCACCCTCCCGCACTCCGGTCGGCGGGACTATCCTGGTGTTTGGTGCTCGGGTGCGCCTCTGTCCATGTTCAGTTCCCTGCTTTTGGACTACCCTGGTGTTCCGTTTTGGTACAGAGTTCTTACATTTTTTCTTTGTGCCTTCCTGCAGGCTTCAGTGTTGCACTGTCTGTGGGGGTTGTGGACTTTCGGTCCACCGCTCCTGCCTTACTGGTTCCTTTTCTTGGAACAGGTAGCTGGGTTCTGGTCCTAGCTCCGGTTTTTCTTTGTTCCTTTTTGGGAACAGGTGTGTTTGCTTTCCTGCGGTTCTCATCTTGCGTAGTTCTCCTCATAGATGCCTCAGTAATGCGTGCTTCATTCTTCCCTGCAGGAGCTGGTTATGTTGCTTCTTTGGGTTGCGGGGTCGCTGTTTTTCTATTCGCGCTTTGTGCTTTCGTTCGGGGTGCTCGTTTTCCCCTTTGGCCTCTGCCTGGGCCCCTGGCTCCTTGGTGTTTGGCCTTGGACCTTCAGGGGTCCTGGGGGGAGGTATCTCCCGGACGGGGCCTTTCTGCTCGCCTGGGTTGGTTCTTTTCGGCTCGCTGGGGTTGGGTTCCTTGTTTCCCTGGCGGCTGTTCCTTTTAGTTTTCGCCTGCCTTGGCAAGACCTGCTGCTTTCCTCGGTTCCAGTCAGGTGGGTCTTCCCGCTGCTCTGCCTCTTTTTTGCAAATCTGTCCTGCTCTGTTCAGGGCTGGTTTGTTCTTCCCCTCGAGTCTTCGTGTCTGGGGTTTTTGTCTCTCGTTTCTTGTCGCTTGTGTCGGCAATGGTGGGTTTGTTGTTGGTCTCCCACCTGTGTGTTTCCTCTCAGGGACGGTGTGTGGATTTCCTGGCAGTCTTCCCGGGTCTATCGCTGCGAAGGGTCCTTCGGTCTCTGATAGGGTTGGCTTGTCTTCCCTTCGGGGTTGTTCCGGGACCGTCGTCTGGGACCGTGTACGGTCGCCTCGTATTGGGTGGTGCTGGCGGAGCCGCCTCCAGTTTGCGTTCGGTGTTGCGGTTCCTTCTGCTCAGTTCTGCTTGCTGTCTTGGGCGTTGTTTCACCTCCGGCCTGCTCTTGAGTTCTGGTACCGTCCTGGTCATTGGCCTTGGTGGTCTATTTTCTTCTCCTCGTTTTGGTCTTTGGGTTGCTGCTTGGTTGGTCGTGCCGGGGGGGTGTTCGGTTGCGTTTTTTTCGCTGTTCTCTACGCATCTTGGCCTCTGGGGTCGTGGACGCGTTTTGGTTGTTCGCGTTCCCCCTCTTCCGTCGTTCCTATTCGGGGGTTCGGGTCTGCAGGGTCTTTGTTTCGTCTGTGGTCTTGGTTTTTTAAGTTAGGGCGCGTGGAGTCCGCCTCCCGGATCCTTCCCTATTTTCCTTATCTGTGGGTAGTTAGCTCCGGGGAGCCGACGGAGCCCCTCCCCCCCCCAGAAAACTAGTGTTGAATGTAATGAAACGCCATTTTTTTGGGAGAGTCCCGGAGGCTCTCCGGCATCCTTCCCTCCCTCTGGTCGGCGGTGTTTTTCGCGTATTTTGACATACAGCCCAAGAACTGCCAGTTGGATCGCTGGCGCGGAGGGTCTGGAGCTCCCCCTTCCCCCTCCCGGGGAAGGGGGGGGGGTTGCGCAGACGATGGCACGGCGACGTGATGACGTCATGCTAGTTTGATAATTTTGTTTCGGAAGTTCTGTCCACTCTTTCGGCTGTCCACTCGTTCGGCTTTTAGTAGCAATATTTTCACCAGAATAGGAGTTTGTTTTGGGGCGCCTACCTTTCTGGGTGCCTATCCCGGTCGATGGCAGACATAGAATGCTCCCAACCACAAGGGGGTTTCTATAAGCCATTGCTCCTCGTGCCTCTTTGAGGGGGCCAGGTTCTGGCTCGTGGTCCCCGGTAGGCAAGAACTCCTAGCACTTTGACTGATACCAGAAAGTTATACATATCCATTCAGCCTGGATAGCTCCGGGGAGCCTCTGGGACTCGCCCGGAAAATGGCGTTGCATTACATTCAACGCTGGTTTTTTGGTCTCTGGCCCTCTCGCAATTTTTGTTGAACCAAATCCTGTTTACTAGTTCTGCATCACTGCTTTGGTATAAATTTGTTTGTACCTTTATCATGCATTTCACAAAACTTGACATATTGCACATTTACGACCTCTCATCTCATTTACTTCCTTGCCTGACAACAAATACTGTACTTTGCAGTACTGTAAAGTTCTGCAAAGAACTCTCTAAGTTCCGCGTAAATGTCCTCTCCAAAAATCAAGTGTTTCAACTGCTTCATTTTCCTCATTCTCTTCTACATTATAACGCATGGCATGAGTTTTCATGGATGTAAACAGCTGCCACCTTGTATGGACCAGTGGGTCTCCTGCAGTTTTCATGGATGTAAACAGCTGCCACCTTGTATGGACCAGTGGGTCTCCTGCAGTTTTCATGGATGTAAACAGCTGCCACCTTGTATGGACCAGTGGGTCTCCTGCAGTTTTCATGGATGTAAACAGCTGCCACCTTGTATGGACCAGTGGGTCTCCTGCAGTTTTCGTCGATATAAACAGCTGCCACCTTGTATGGACTAATGGGTCTCCTGCATTTTTCGTGGATGTAAGCAGCTGCCGCCTTGTATGGACCAGTGGGTCTCCTGCAGTTTTCGTGGCTGTAAACAGCTGCTGCCTTGTATGGACCAGTGGGTCTCTTGCAGTTTCCATTATTCATATATTTTTAAGGATGAGGAATGTCTTGCATATTATTTGTTTACACTTTGAATTTCCTTTAATTTTAGGGAACCTGGAGAGACAAGCAAATCCTTCACTGAAGAGGACTCCACTTGCACCCAGGAGTCTCCAGCTTGATGAAAACACTCCTGTGGTGAAAGTAAATGTGAATTTACACTCAGAAATTCAAAATTTGAGTAAGTATGGACTGTGTAATTGAACATTACTTGTGTATCTATAAAATTTTCACAATTTATTACTACTGTATTAAAAATAAAAGTACGTTATTAAATCGATCTTTAATTTCTTGCAGATTTAAAAATGGATTTGATTTTAAATCAATTGAAGAATCAAAGCTTAGATATATTGAATCTGCAAAATATAGTTGAAAGACTGAATATGAATAGTAAGTTTAAAAAGAAAGAGGATACTCTATTAATACAAGACTTTCTACCACAACCTCTCAGTACTCCTCTGGAGTTAGAGAACTTCTGCAGTAAATTACGATCTGATAATGCATTTAGAAAATCTTTGGTAAGTGTTGTCAAAAAACCAGCGTTGAATGTAATGAAACGCCATTTTCTGGGTGAGCCCCGGAGGCTCCCTGGAGCTTATCGGGCTAATGTATGTTATGTTAGACCGGGACATTAGCTAAGGAGTTCAGACCTACCAGGGACCAGCGCCAGAACCTGGCCCCTTCAGAGAGGTTTCAGGGAGCAATGGCCCTGGAAAACCCCATATGGTTGGGGTTTTCCTTATCTGCCATCGACCGGGGTTAGGCACCCAGAAAGGTAGGCGTAACAAAACAAACCCCACATGGTAAGAAACTACAACAAAAACCGAACAGAGAGGTAGAAAACTCCCTACAATCCCAAGGAAACTAGCAAACAAGCAAACATCACACTTTACTGCCGCGCCGATCGTCCGCGCAGCCCTCCCCGCCCCGGGAGGGGGAGGGGGGAGCCCCGGACCTACCGCGCCGGCTGCCAAGCTCCAGTTCGGAAGCTAAGCTTCAACCAACGCGAAAAAACCGCCGACCGGTGGGAGGGAGGGTTTCCAGGGAGCCTCCGGGGCTCACCCAGAAAATGGCGTTTCATTACATTCAACGCTGGTTTTCTGTGGGGAGCCCCTACGGCTCCCTGGAGCTTCATACCCAAAGAGAAGGAAAAGAAAGGGCTAACCCGGGAGGCGGCCGCCACAAACTCTGCAATGCAAAACCAAGACAACCGGTTGCAAACCTGCGACCCAAGGCAACAAGAACGCCCAAGAACAGATGCACATAAGGATGGGCAGCCAAAAACCTGTGCGACCCACAAATCCCTGCGCCCGAAATGAGCCCGAGACGTCACCAACACAGCAGCAAAAGCTGCAAACGTCTGAACAGCACGGGCGCAAAGACAGACCGCAGGCTGGAAGAAGGAAAACACTGCGGACGACCTGGGAGACCCGAGCCCTGAAAACAGGGAACGAAGGAACCGGATCAACCACAGCGCATCCCCAGACACGGTACGCCGGCAACACCAAAAAGCACAACCAGACAACACAGGACGCACCCCCCGGCCAAACCAATCAAGCACCAATACCCCAAGAACCCCTCCGGAAAGCAGCCGTCACGACCGGCGCCAGGACAGAGAAAGGCTGCACACCTATAAAGCTACCACCAGTACCAAAGAGCTGGAAACTGAACCGAAGGGGCTACCACAAACTGAGGGGAAGATAAGAAGGCACCCTGAACAAGGACCAGGATGGCTCAGGCGACGCATGAGCAGGCCGGAGGGGAAACAAAACACGAGAAAACGTAAGAAACGTCATACTGTCTCCAAGACGAAGCTCGCAGGTGGGACACCGTCAACAAAGCCACCTGAACACCATAGAGATGGTGATACCCGCGTCAAAATACCAGACGCGAAGAGCCAAGGAGAAGGCCGAACCAGTCACGGACAGGACCGATTCGGCCTGCTGAAAGAGGCGAAGCCTCAGGAAAAACGCCCCGGGTACGGACACCTATCAAGCAGCGTCTGAAAAGAAGGCCGGGCTGGCCACCATGGAACCATAAGGACTGTTCTCGTGGGAATGGGCTGCAACCGAGCCAGAACCCGAAGCAACAGCTGGACCGGGAGAAGAGGAACAGGTACCCCCCACCTCGACCAGTCCTGCCGAAAGCCTCCACCGTGAAGTCCTCGCAGGTGGGAAGGGCGCCACAAAATGGGCGACGCCTAGACCACGCCGACCCGAAGACGTCCATGGCCAGGAGTCCATATGCCCGACAGAGCCAACAAAACGAATCGGCGACGACTGGCCAACCCACGAAGAGGAATGAACCGAGACAGCTGTCCGCCAGGACGCAGGACACACCCCGGACACGAACCTCACGGTTAGCCAAACCCCTGTGGTTCCGGCAAGAACCACCAGAGAACAGTCCAAACAGAGCTGAATGGTAGAGTACCTAGCGACCCAAACCCTCCGAAGCGCAAACCAGACAGCCATGAACACCCGAACCGTGCTGTGAGCCCGACGGACAGACTCCATCAACCTCGGCCGACCTGGTGAGCACCAGTCACAAAGCCCCAGCCGAGAGACGACCCATCCGTGAACACATCGAGCGAAGGCTCGGGGAGGTGCCAAGGCATGGAACCCCAAAAAACCCAAAGAGGAAGCTGGTGACGCAGCACCAACACGAAGATCCCCGGAGGAACCCAATGAATGCAAGAGGCGGAAGGGGAGTCTCCGCAGGAACCAACAGACGCCGTAGCCAAACCCGACTCCGCGGGCAGACAAGCACGCCAAAGTGCAGACTCCCGCACAACCGCTGAGCAACCCGGGACACCCTCCTGAACAGCCAAAGGCGGGACCACAGCCGCAGTAACACTTCTGGAGGGAAGACAATGAGGGGCCCAAGAGCCTTAAACAAGGCCCAGGTCCGCACCCGGGACGGAAACAGATGGAAAAACCTCCAGATCACCAGGAAACCAAACCCGGCGATCTGGAAAGAACCATCCCCTGGCGAGCAGACAAGCGGACTGACTGGGAGCCCACACCAGCCAGTCGTTGAGGTAGGCCAGACACCGAATCTCAGACTCAGACAGGGCACTAAGATCCGGTAAAGATGCAAAGAGTATACGAAGTGCCCATTACAAAATAGGGAAGGCAATAAAAACAGCAAACCTGAAGCCCCACCACCAACCGTGCTAGTCCCAGAAAAACTGGAGAGGAACGTGCCAAGAAGTGACCTGGAGGTCCAGGGCCACCATCCATGCACCCGGCCCCAACAGAATCCAAACAGGAGACAACAGTACTCCGAGGAGGGCAGAGGATCCAGGGCGCAGACTGAAGAAGTCCAGAAGAACTGCAGACGGGAAAAGCTCATGACTGCAAAGAGCAGACGGGAAGCCCAGAAGGATGGGGCAGATCGACCACGCCCCACGCACCCATGAAGAGGAAATGACGAAACGCAGGGGAAGAAGCCCACCCCGGCAGCTCTGAACCCCCCCCAAGGGGGAGAAGCCGTCCTCCGACGCCAGCAGAGGCCGGAAGACAACCCAAAGCACCCACCAACAGCGGGACCAAGCGAGAGGCAACAGAGCAAGCTGCTCCCCCAGCGCCCAGTCAACAGAGAAGGGACCAGAACCCCTTCAGAAAGAAAAAGTACACTACCCAAGTCATGAGGAGAGACTACGGGAATTAAACCACACTTCGCTGGAAGATGAAGTGAGGGGAGACCTGATCACCACATTCAAGATACCCAAGGGAATCGACAGGGTTGATAAGGACAGGCCATGTAACACAAGGGGCACATGCACTAGGGGACACAGGTGGAAACTTGAGTACCCAAAAGAGCCACAGATAATTTTTTTTTTTTTTTTTTTTTTTTTAGTGTCAGAATGGTAACGGGAAAGCACTAGGAAGTAATGTGGTGACTCCACACACAAGTAACGAGGCTGACCCCCATACAATGTCACATGTAGACATGATAGAGCCCAATAGGCACAGGAACCTAAACACCTAAAGATATTTGACATTCAGTACCTTCCTCCCTTGGGTAAAAGTGACCATGTCTTTTTGGGAATAAAGTATGCAATGCGTTATAAGCTGGAAGAAAATAAGGAGGTTGAAGCAGTTGAAAAACCAGACTTCAGGAGAGGACATTATGGTGACCTTAGAAATTTTTTTAGTGAGTATAATTGGACAGACTTGATGCTAGGCAAGGAAGTGAATGAGATGTATGGCAAGTTTTGTGAAATATATGATAAAGGCACAAAAAAATTTATACCAAAACAGAGATGCAGAACTAGGAAACAGGATTGGTTCAATAGAAATTGCGAGAGGGCTAGAGACCGAAAGACACAAAAATGGAATCAATACAGGAAGAGGCCGAACCCCCAAACATACCAGCGATACAAAGATGCGAGAAACAACTACACGGCAGTGAGGAGAGAGGCAGAAAGAAATTTTGAAAAAGGGATTGCGGACAAATGTAAAACAGAACCAGGTCTATTCTATAAATTCATAAACAACAAATTGCAGGTAAAGGATAATATTCAGAGGTTGAAAATGGGAAATAGATTCACGGAAGATGAAAAGGAAATGTGTGAAACACTAAACGAAAAGTTCCAAAGTGTGTTTGTACAAAATGAAATCTTTAGGGAACCAGATACAATAAGAATTCCAGAGAACAACATAGAACACATAGAGGTGTCTAGAGACGAAGTGGAAAAAATGCTCAAGGAGCTCGGTAAGAACAAAGCAGCTGGCCCAGATGGCGTTTCACCATGGGTTCTGAGAGAATGTGCATCTGAGCTCAGCATTCCACTTCACCTGATCTTTCAGGCATCCCTGTGTACAGGAATCGTAGCAGACGGGTGGAAACAGGCTAACATAGTTCCAATCTACAAAAGTGGCAGCAGGGAAGACCCCCTCAATTATAGACCTGTATCATTGACAAGTGTAATAGTGAAAGTATTGGAAAAACTAATCAAAACTAAATGGGTAGAACACCTAGAGAGAAATGATATAATATCAGACAGACAGTATGGTTTTCGATCTGGAAGATCCTGTGTATCGAATTTACTCAGTTTCTATGATCGAGCCACAGAGATATTACAGGAAAGAGATGGTTGGGTTGACTGCATCTATCTGGACCTAAAAAAGGCTTTCGACAGAGTTCCACATAAGAGGTTGTTCTGGAAACTGGAAAATATTGGAGGGGTGACAGGTAAGCTTCTATCATGGATGAAAAATTTTCTGACTGATAGAAAAATGAGGGCAGTAATCAGAGGCAATGTATCGGAATGGAGAAATGTCACAAGTGGAGTACCACAGGGTTCAGTTCTTGCACCAGTGATGTTTATTGTGTACATAAATGATCTACCAGTTGGTATACAGAATTATATGAACATGTTTGCTGATGATGCTAAGATAATAGGAAGGATAAGAAATTTAGATGACTGTCATGCCCTTCAAGAAGACCTGGACAAAATAAGTATATGGAGCACCACTTGGCAAATGGAATTTAATGTTAATAAATGTCATGTTAT